ACTCTTATCCTTACATGGGATATAGAAACATATGCCTCACAAATGGGAGAATTTGCAGAAGTTCTTGAACAGAAAAATAAGATCTTTATGATTAGTATGACATTACATTGGAAAGATGATTCAAAACCATTAAAACAAATCTGTCTTGTTGCGTTGAAACTGCACCAGATCCACGATGGGTTACAATCATATGTGGAAATCAAGTAAATTTGCTAAAAGCTTTCATTCTCTGCTGGCGAGCATTTGCCCCTGACATTCAAGTTGTATTTAATGATTCTGACTATGATTGGCATTTTATTATGAAGAGAGCATATCATCTCAATATACTCGAATGGATGTGGAAGCGAATGACAGGAAAGTTCAAAACAAAGGAAGAAATCCTAAAGTGGAAATATCGTGGAAAGATAGGAGCGAAATCTGAAAATAATTTCATGATAAAAGGAAAGAAAAAGGATACAGACGAAAAGGGGACCATATGGAGATCAGGTGAGGAAGTCGAGGAAAAGAAAGATTATATGGAAGCAATTAAGATCAAAATTACTACAGAAGAGGATTTCTTTTCCAGTTTTCTTAAACTGCCAGGATGTGTACCAATTGATGTTTGAGTGTGTCTCAAAAAACGTTATCCCCGTTCTGAAGTCGAAAAGGAAGGATTGCTTAAATTCTTCTTAAAAAAGTGTGGCCTCGACACTAAAGCTAACATGCCATATGATGAAATGTGGAGAATCTATTCAGAGACAAAAAAAGACCCCTCTCCTTTAACTGCAAGAAAAATGCGAGAAGTAGCTAATTATTATATTATAGATGCATTACGTTGCCAAGAGCTTTTGGTAAAGCTAAGTCAAATAAATGATTATAGAGAAGTCGCTTCCATAGCTCATGTATCTTTGTTCGATTCACACTATCGTGCAAATGGAATGAAGGTACGAAACCTTCTGGACGCTTATGCTTTTAAACGTGATATAGTATTTAGCTCAAGAGTATGTGAAAATATAGAAAAAGGAAAATATCCTGATGCGTACGTTTTTCCACCTGAAAAGGGGATTGAAATGAGAAGACCTGTAACGGGATTGGACTTTGCCTCATTATATCCCAGTCTCATCATGGCTTACAATCTCTCTCCAGATA